GTCTAAATTTAACCAAATTGAGATTGCATTCGTATGGGAACGGGCTGTCGTGCTTTGTTAGTGCATGAAGCCATGTGTAATGGAATTGGATTCTTCATACAAGTGGAGTTTTGTCCTACAATGAATGGAGCTCGATCCTATCCAAATAGCATCGTGGTATTGTTTAGATGGGAGGGAGACTCAGCATTAAATGGGATCTCGTTCTTGTTGTTGACGGGAGTGCAATCCTAATAGACATGGGAGCGCGATCCCATTTTACATGTAACACGTTCCTGTAAAATAGGGATCTCGATCCCAATGCCTCAAAATCTCGCTCCTTATTCAAACGGGATCTCACTCCCTATTCAAAAGGGATCTCATTCCGTAAATACATGGAACACATTCCATTTAAATAGGGATCTCGATCCCAATGTATCGGGATCTCGCTCCCCGTTCAAACGAGATCTCAGTCTGTGGCTTCTACCCTTACCGGATCTCGCTCCCAGAGCTTTGGGCAGCCATCGATCCCATGCTCCCGCTCTCGGAACCGAAACCGCTCCCGCTTTCGGAACCTAAACCGCTCCCGCTCCCGCTCCCGGTAACTATGGTTTCAACCATTTCAAACTGTGTATATCATTCGTACCAGATTAGGAGATTGGGGGAAAAGAAAGATCTAGAGCTCTTGCGAATTAGGAGAATATCGAGAAATGGATGTTAGGGTTAATTTTGGATGGGGGTTTGGCTTCATTCAGCGAGAATCACATGGTAATTTATGGGGAGAGAAGCCCATTGTAGCTAGTTATTAAGGGGGAAGGAAGACTTGTTCAGGGTTCAAAACTTATGACAACTGCACTAGAGCAGTGCAATGGAGAAATTGAGAAGATGTCTTTAGCCCTCTTTACACCTCTCTTTCTCTCTTCAAATCTTAAATTAAATATGCTCATGAAGTGTTTACTAAAAGGGAAGGCTTTCCATGTCACTCCACTCACATATATAATATATGTGACCCCTAGTCACAGCCATCAGATTTAAGTAGATGGCTAAGATGGCTTAAGTCATAATGTCACAAATTAGCTTTCAACCGTAAGATATTGATCGGATGGCACGAGGTTTTTTATTTTTAATTTTTATTATATAAATCTTTTTAAAGCAAAATTTGGGACATGCATAGATCTGATAGGCATGCACATGATAAAAATAATAATAAAATATTTTGGTGATGAACAATTAGCAGAATGCCCCTGAAAATTTTAGAGTCATTTTGGTCATTTATTTTTATGTAAAATATTTATTTTTTATTTTTTTCAGGTTCGCCCTAATTTTATGATGAGACATCCAAAATTTTATCCAAACATACTTTGTAGAAAAAAAAAATTTAAAATAATATTTTACGTTACATTGGGTATAAACAATCGTAGCCATTCAATTTGAATCAAACTGCTGATAAAATGGGATCCCATATATTTTATATGTTGGTGCTCATGCTTGGTACTTGGCCATGGCTTGGAGATCGATCAAATGCCCTATGTAAATTCAGTTTCATATAAATTCAATTTCTGAGGGCCAAACAATAAAAAATATCAGTTCCATAAAAATTCTAGAACATGGATTGATGGGCAAACATACACTTAAAATCACATATCAAGAAAATAAATAATTCAAAAATCATGGAAAGCCAACTGCCGTTTCATTCGAATTTTTAATTATCTAAAAATGGAAATTTTGATTTTGTCAAATATAGCCTTAGTCATTTTTTTCATCAAATGATATTGTAGCTAATCTTCATGCATTTTGATCACCGTAGATGAATTGCTTTCCTTCTACCTTTCGTAAAAAGAGAAAATGTAGAATATTTACGAAGTTGGGTTAGTCCCCAGGACAATTGACCGGGGAATGTAGCTTCCAAATCAAGGGAAGGGACCTTTTTTTTTTTTGGAACAATCAAATTTGAGCCTACTTTAAAAATTTCACTAGAAGAGGTTGTTTTGATGCCCAAATATCTTCAGATTGATCATCTCGACATCAAGATGCATGAACATGAGAAAAAAATGGATTGCAAGTTTTGGAAATAGCGTATTTTGTAACGCATTTTTGGACCGACAATTTTTAAGATTTTCAAGTTTTCATCGATATGTCGATATACACTATTTTTTATGCTTTAAACTTTATAAATAAATATAAAAATATATTTTAAGACTATCACAAAGATTTCCAATATTGAAACTATATTTCTTGACACTATTTGAAGGTAGGCTATAATTTGATTGTTTAGAGTCTAGGCTCTATACAAATCGTACCCTTCAATGGGGATGACATACCCCTGCCTATTTTTTAATTAGTTAGTAGTTTTAGAAGTTATCAATGGGAATGAAAACCACAATGTGCAATTGAAAGATACGGTGTGATGCCACTACGACCTCAGCTCCTTTCCCAAAAACAGAGATGTTTTAACTTTTAGAGGAGTGAAAGACCAGATATGTCTATTAGTTTTGTAAAGGTGTTTTTCTAATGGGTGAGATTTGTATAAGGTTGCCTTGAAGTCAGGCGCACCTCTAAATTTGCTTAGAGGTCTAGTTTTGCGTCAAAAACCTTAAATGATGGTTTGAAAAATCCGTTTTCATCCCTAGTTATAAAAATTTAAATTTTGGGACATGCTAGTGATCAAATAGATCAATAAATATTTGAAAATCTTGAAAAACGACAGTCTGGATAACTTATTATAAGATGTGCGATCTTTTAGACTTGGAAATTTTTTTTTTTCTCTCTTCATATCTATACTTCTCGAGGTTGAGATGATTAATTGGAAGGTTTTCCAACATTGAAACACTTTCTTATGCAGTATTTTTGAAGTGCACTTTATTTCTATAGTACAAGGTTGCAACTTTATATGAATTATTTCATTTTCTAATTTTTTTTGATCATACACTAAATGAGGGTATTTTTGTCATACATACAACGAAACTAAAGTACTCTAGGGACTCACGAGGAAATAAACAATTCAACAATAATTTGGTATAAATTATTATAGTTTTTCAAGGGGGTGTTTTGCTCCCGCGGGAGTATTGTACAAGTGGGAAAATAAAAAATAAAAAGACCACTATGTATTTTTTTCTTTCAAAAAGTAGTCTATGAGTCGAGAGATGGACTTGTATATTTCCGTCCCCGAGGCATCAAACATTCATCTTTGGGATGGATGTGAAATTGTGGTCCGTCATGAAAACCTAAAATCTAATGGCTCAAAAATATTCTCCAAAAAACTATCTTTTTAGCTTTTAATTTTAATATTTTACATATTAATGAGCTCTATGTCAGAGACTATGTATATGCAAAACATTAGATCTAAATTTCATCTAAAAAATAGATAAAAAAGAGAGGCATCATATCTACATGTGAGCTCTAAGACTCATAGAACCTTGACTTCTTTTGTTTTTAACCAAAATGATGACTATAGGGATTGTTTACAAAAAAAAAAAAAAATCAGTTATTTTTGTAAATATAAGTAACTTGGGATAAGTCAGAATATTTTTTTTTTCAGAAATTTGTGTGCAATCAATGGCATTCTTTCTTTTTTTTGAAGATTAATAACATTTTTACGACCACCCTTCTTGAAATCTAGGAGACAAAAATGATTGTGATCTCATTGTGCAAAAAGTAAATGGTCTTTTTAAAGGCAATGCCAAGACTATATATCATGTACATTTTTGTGTGGCAAATTGTTTCATGTGGGCTAGACTGCATTTTTACAATATATGGTCCTAAGGTATACAACATCCATCTTAGAGATGAATGCAAATAGGTGGTCCATCTAAAAATAATTGAGAATAACGGTTTAATTTTTTTTTATAAAATCATTATTTTTATTTTATTTATTTATATTGATGATCTTCATGTTAGAGATTACATATCCTTAAAAATTAGATCCGAAAATCCATCTCAAAAATAGATTTTTAAGAGTTGACTCATTTCTACCTGAACTCATAGATATCGTGGCCTTTTTCTTTGGGACACAGTTTTTATGTGGCAAGCCCGCATATTACATAAATGCGGACTTGGCAATAAATTATATTTTAAAATATAATTTCATCATCATTTTTAAAGAATATGTAATCTTTAACATGAAGATCATGAATACGAAAAGAAACTTTTTTAAAAAAAATATTCGAACTGTTAATTACCATTGTTTTTCGATAGACCACCTATTTGCATCCAGATGGATGGTTAGTACCTCTGGACCGCATACGGTAGAAATGCGGTCCAGCCCCGAATGAAACAATTTTCCTTATCTTTTGAGGGGTAAAGTAAGTACACTGGTCAGAAGTGAAGACGGAGATGAGAGGAGGTGGTGAAAAGCACAGCACTACATACAAAAGCTTCACTCTCCATCACCCTAAGCGATCAGAAGTGAAGACGGAGATGAGAGGAGGTGGAGAAAAGCACAGCACTACATACAAAAGCTTCACTCTCCATCGCCCTAAGCGATGGCATGTCCTCACTGGCAAAGGAATGTGTTTCATCATGTGGTACGCCTCTCTCTCTCTCTCTC